TAAGGTCTCTTCTGAGACTTAAGGCAAACCCCCAGCTGTGAGCCTGTATAAATCAAAAAGTTAAACACTGAGCTGGGCATGGTGGCGAAGCCTGTAATCCCAGCACTCAGGAAGCTGAGGCAAGAGAATTCTTGTGAGGCTGAGGCAGGAAGAACGTTGAAGAGTTTGAGGTCAACCTGAGCTTCATAGTAAGTTCAGGCCCAGCCTGAACTACATAGTCTTGAAAATCCAAACCAAACTAAATCAAAGCAAATAACTCAAGGCCAGCCTGAGCTACAAAGTGAGCTCAAGGCCAGCCCAAACTGGATAGGAAGACCTTCTCAAAGAGACAAAAAAAAAAAAAAAAAAAATTAACCTTGCCAAAGAGCGCATGAGGCTTTGAGGGAGACATGTTAGACATAAACCACAACACTACCCATGCGGATTTCCTTGGTCTGTTTCCTTTTTGCATCGTAGTGGGTTCAGTTATGAGTGGATAATGTACCCTGGGCGTTCCTTGCCATTCATGAAAACCTTTCCTCGTCAGGGTCTGTGTTTATGACCTGTTAAGGATTTTGGTTCAGCCTGCAAACTCTCCTACCAAGGCCCCAGCCCCCCACCGAGGGTGAATTTCTCTGGGCTTCTTCTTTTTCTTCTCCTTCAGTTTCATTTTCTCCGGTTCTTGCTTGGTGACGCTCCCCAGGAGGAAGACGTTCTCAGTTCCCTCCCAGTGTCCGCAATCACTTTTGTGTAATAGTCCTCCGGGGACTGAAGTGTTGGAAAGCACAAAATATCTGTGGGTGTAGATTATTTAAAATCTCAGATTCAAGGCATCTGAAGTGCTAACTACATCTTTCCTTCCAGACTCAAGCTTTTCCTACCAGGAAGCCGGTACTGGGCTCCTACTCTGCCTTTGGCCCTTTCCCACCTTATATAGTCTTTCCACATTGCCGTACTGGCAACCACCAGATCTCCTGTAAGAACTTTTTATTCTAGAAGTAGAAACTGAACTCAGGTCTTTGTGCTGAGCTACATCCCCAGACCTTTTCATTTTTTATGTTGTGGCAGAGTCTTGTTAAATCACTAAAATGTCCAGGCCAGGCTCAAATTTGCCACCCTCCTGCCTCAGCCTTCCAGACAGCCTGCATTAAATACTGCTAAATCTAATGGTGGAGTCAGGAGGCCTCTGAAGAATCTTTTAGGATGTGGCTATGGCAGAGCTGCCAATTTCATTCGCCATTTACATGGTCTCTTGTTTGTTTATTTATCTTTTTTTTTTTTTCCTGTCTTTTTGAGACAGGGTCTCTCTATGCAGTTCAGGCTGGCCTTGAGCTCACTTTGTAGCCCAGGCTGGTCTTGAACTGGCAATGATCCTCCTGCCTTAGCCTCCCGAGTGCTGGGATTACAGGCATGAGCCACCACGCCCGGCTTTGTTTATTTATCTTTTAATAACATTTTTCCAATTAAAAAACTAATACTGGGGGCTGGGGATTTAGCTCAGCGGCATAAGCGCCTGCCTTGCAAACAGGTAGTCGTGAGTTCGATCCCTGGTACCGATAAAAATGAAAAACACACACACACACACAAAAAAAAAAATAGATAAATTACATGAAATGGACAAATTCTACAAAATTACAAATTACTAAAACTAACTTGAAAAGTTATTGAAAATCTATGCCTGGCATGGTGGTGCACGCCTGTAATTCCAGCACTCAGGATGGTGAGGCAGCAGGATTGCCATGAATTCAGTGCCACCATAGGCTACATAGGCTATCTTAAAAAAGCCAAAAAACATTGTTTTGAAGTTATGAAAAATCTATACAGAGACTGAATTAATCTATACAGAGATTCCCACAAAATCTCAGCCCAGAAAGAATCGTTGGTAAATATCATCAAACATTCAAGGAATTAATACTAACTGCAGAATGCTGAATAATTACTCCCTAAAGGGAGGCTGAGGCAGGAGGATCGACGCTAGTTTGAAACCAGCTGGGCCACATTGTGAATCCAGGCTAACCTGAGCTACATAGTGAGACTCTGTCTCAAATAAATAAATAAATGCAATTAAATAAAAAATAAAGATGTAGGACCAGGCACACTGACATGCACCTGTGAACCCAGCCACTCAGAAGGCCGAAGCAGGAGAGTTACAAGTTTCAGGTCCACCTGAGCAACATAGCAAGATACTGTTTCAAAACACAAAACGGCTACGGCGGTAGCTCGGTGGTAGGGTACCCCTGAGTTTGGGACTCAATGTTGAGGGGAAAAAAAAGAGGAAACGTCCTAAGAAAGAATCTGCTGCCTGGGTGGTTTAGGGAAGGAGCTAAGAGCAGCCTCTAGATTCCTCCTAGGAACCTGCAGATGTCTTCTTTTATTCCTATAAGACTCATTTTGAGTTTTCAAATGCCAGGATTGTGAATGAATAAACTTGTGGGGGGTTGTGGGGAGATGTTTGAGACTATGTATTCTAGCCTGGCCTTCAATTCACTGTGGAGCCCAGGCTGGCCTCAAACTTGCTGTGATGCTCCTGCCTCAGGCTTTTGAGTTCTGGGATCATAGGTGTGGACCACCACACCCTACAAAAGAATATATTTGTGGTTTTTGTTTTTATTTTTGGCACTGGGGATTAAATTCATGACCTTGTGCTTACCAGGTAAGCACTTGAGCACTTAAGCTAAATCCATGGCCCAAAATTTGTGTTATTTTTGGTACCACGGATCGAACTCAGGAGCCTGCCAGGCAGCTGCTTATGCTGCTGAGCTAAATCCCTGGCTTGTGTTATTTTTTACTAAAAAACTTGTAGTAATTTATTACCACAGAAATAGTAAAGTTAACATCCATACGCCAATCTTGCAAACTCTTCCCACAAATAGATGAGGTATACTTCCAAACTCTGCATGAGGCCAGTATTTACCCATAGCAAAACCGGGTAAAGACAATGAGGAGAGAAAACTCAATCAAAATCCCTAATGAATTTGGACACAAAAGTCCTGAACAGCCGGGCGTGGTGGCGCGCGCTTGTAGTCCCAGCTACTTGGGAGGCTGAGGTGGGAGGATCGCTTGAGTCCAGGAGTTCTGGGCTGCGGTGCGCTATGCCAATCGGGTGTCCGAACTAAGTTCAGCATCAATATGGTGACCTCCCGGGAGTGGGGGACCACCAGGTTGCCTAAGGAGAGGTGAATCGGCCCAGGTCAGAAACGGAGCAGGTCAAAACTCCCGTGCTGATCAGTAGTGGGATCACGCCTGTGAATAGCCACTGCACTCCAGCCTGGGCAATATAGTGAGACCCTGTCTCTAAAAGAAAAGTCTCTAAAAAAAAGTCCTGAACAAAAATCCAGGTCTGTGATCCCATGAACGAGTGTGATCCCAGCACTCTGGAGCCTGTGGAAATAGGATCACAAATTTGAGCAACTTAGCAGGACTCTTTGTTTCAAAATAAAAATAGAGAAAAAAGGCCGGAGATTTAGCTCAGCAGCATAAGTGCCTGCCTGGCAAGCATGAAGTGATGAATTCAATACCTGATACCAAAAAGAAAAGAAAAGAAAAAGCTGTGGATATAGCTCAGTGCCAAACTCTGGGTTTGATCCCCAGTCCTACCAAAAATAAACAGAAAAACAAAACAAAAGATCAAGTAACTGAATTCAACAGTGTATAGAACAAAATTCTGTACCATGATCACATGGGATGTAGCCCAGGAATGCTCAATTGGCTTAGTATCCTGTGCAGAAAGCATTCCCATGGTAAGCTCCAGACTGTTGCCCCCTAAATACCTACTTTTGAGCTCAACCTGGGGTTGGCACCTGGAACACAGATTTCAGAACAGGGAAGAGCTGTTCACTGTGTTACTTTCTCATTGTGGGGACATAATACACCCGCAGTTAAAGGAGGAGAGGTTTGTTCTGGCTCACAGTGTGTAGAGGTTTCAGCCCACAGATGGCTGGCACTACAGCAGGGCAGCAGGAGAAGGGCCTGGCAGAGGAGAAACAGTCCGTGGGAGGGTAGGCAAGCAGCAGAGAGAGATCAAGGGAGGAGGAGGGAGACAAACTTCTGACCATGCCCACAATGACCCACCTCCTATCAGGCCTTGCTGCCGAATATCACAACCAGCTGCAAATCCATCGTGGATTAATCCAGTATTACACACCCATGATCCAGCCACCTCCCAAAAACCCCATCTATGAAAAAAAAACCCACCTATAAGCACGTGAGGCTTTGGAGGGACACCTACACACAAACCGTAACAGTGCCTAAGCTATTTCTGTAGACAGACACGCTAAAACCCTATTTCTCTTTGGAAATTTATGACTGTGGTCTGTGCCAGGCAGTGGGATCTTCCACAGGCTGCCGGTTAGAAACCTTAAACCTGCATTCGCTAGCGCGTGTCTCTGGTGGACAATGTCTTGTCACCACTGGAAGAATCACATTATCTGTCACCTCCTGACACCTGGGGAAGGACACTGGAAGCTGGGCCTGGACTTTGCCCAGGTGGTTTTTCCCTTTGCTGGATTTGCTTTGTTCTCTTTCACTGCAATGAATCTTAGCAGTGAATGATACTTGCCGTGTTGTCAGTTCCAAGGTGGCTCTAGGGACCCTGGCACACAGGTGACAATTAATATAATCCAGCGCACTAACAGGATAAAAGACAAACCCTATAGAATGAGCTCAATATGATTGGGAAGGAAAAAGAAAAAATCACCCAATGAACTAGTAATAGAATGGAAATTCCACAGCCTGATAACACGAATCTATGAAAAAAATCATAGTTAACATCATAGTTATTGTAAGAGAATGAACCATGTCTTCCCGAGATTAAGAACAAGACAAACAGGGGTATCGTGGTGCAGACCTGTAATCCCAGTGCTCAGGAGGTTGAGACAGAAAGAGTACTGGGAGTTCCAGGCCAGCCTGGGATAGTGAACTCAAGGCCAGCCTGAACTACACAGCAAAATCCTGTCTAAAAAAAAAAAAATAATAATAACAGGAACAAAAAATAATAATAAGCCAGGTGCAGTGGCACTCACCTGTAATTCCAGCACTTGGGAGACTGAGGCAGGAGGATCACTGCAAGATGAAGACCATCCGAGGCTACATAGTGAGTCTATGTCAGCCTGAGTTACCTAGCAAGATCCTGTCTCAGAAAAAAAAAAAAGATATAAATAAATGTAAAGACATCCCATGTTCATGGATCAAAAATCTTCACACTGTAATATGGCAGTAAGGCTGACTTATCTACAGATTCAATGTAATCTCTATCAAAATTGTGCCACAGGTTGGGGGCAGGTTTGTAACCAGCACTGGTGGGTGTGGGAAGCAGGAGAATCACAAATTGAAGCCTACCCTGAACTACCAGTGACTCAGTGGGGACCCTGACTCAAAAAGTAAAAAGGGTCGGGGACATTGCTCAGTGCCAATGTCCTGGCTTCAACCGCCCAGTACCACAGGCAGGCGCGCACACACACACACACACAACATAGACTACACACAGACCCAATCCAACAAATAAAGCCTAAACAAAACAAAGTGTTGTGGTGTATGACTGTATTCCTAGAACTTGGGAGGCTGAGGCAGTAGGATTCCCAAGAGTTTGAGGTGAACCTAGGTTATATAGTGAGTTCAAGGTCAGCCTAGACCCTATCTCAAAAAACCAAAACCAAAACCAAAACAATTCCTGATGTAGTCCAGGCTGGCCCCAAACTCCCAGCGATCCTCTTACTTCAGGCTCCCGAATGCAGGGATTACAGGTGCATGCCCTAAAATGAAATTGGAGCCAGGTGTGGAGGTGCACCCCTGCGGCCCAGCACTGGGAGGCTACGACAGTAGGAGTGAAAGCGTAGGCACAGGGCCGGGGATACAACTCAGTGGCACAATGCCTGCCTGGCAGGCACAAGTCCTGAGTTTCATTCCTGGTATGAAGAAAGAGAAGAGGGGAGGGGAGGGGAGGAGAGGAGAAGAGAAGAGAAGAGAAGAGGAGGAGAGCAAGCAAGCAAGCAAGCAATAGAGAAGAGGGAGGGAGAGAAGAAGAAAGAAAAGAAAGAACAGAAAGTTTAAGTACAGCGTGGGCAATGTAGTGATTCAGCAAGACCCTGTCTCAAAATAAAAATATAAAAAGGCCTGGAAGATAGCTCAGTGCAAAGGCCCTGGGCTAAATGCCTAGTATGACAAAACAAAATAACACTGGTATGGAGGGATGGATATGGTGGCTCATGCCTGTAATCCCAGCACTTGAGGCTGAGGCATGAGGATCACTATTCAAAGCCAACCTGAGCTACATAGTGAACTCAAGTTCAGCGTGAAGTACATAGCAGAACCCTGTCTACGAAAGAAAGAAAGAAAAGAAAAGAACAAAGAAAAACTGGATTTCCTGGTACACTTTGTACTCCCAGCCCTGGGGAGGCTGAGGCAGGAGGATGACTTTAAGGGCAGCCTGGGCCACATTGTGAGACCATATCTTAATTTACTTTCTCATTGCTGGGGCACAAAACCAGACACCTGAGAGTTAAAGGAGGAAAGATTGATTTAGCTCACAGTGTGTAGGCGCTGCAGTCCAGTCAGGGGGTCCACAGGCAGCCTGGCAGACCTGGTAGAGGAGAAAGAGCACTTCGCCTGGCAGACCTGAAAAAGGCACAGCAGGGAGCTCCCCTTCCCTCCACAGTCCATCCAGCTTATCGGTTGCTGCAAGCCTATTGGTTGGTGCTTCCCACACCCAGGGCGGGGCTCCTGCCCCCAGCAAATCCCATCAACCACGCCCAGAGCACTGCTAACCCAATCAGGCGGCTGCCCAGTTATCCCACAGCCTTCCCTGTGGCACACCTGTGATGCGGTCACTCCCAAAATCTCCCCCTGGGAAACACGAGGCTTGGGAGACATTTCAGATATAAACCACATAGAGCCCTGCCTTAAAAAATAATGAAATGAAAAACGTTTAGCTGGGCATTGTGGTACACTCCTGTAATCCCAGTGCTCTAGAAGGCTGAGGCAGGAAGATGATAAATTTGAGCTCAGTCTGGACAATTTAGAGATTGAGCAACACCCTGTTTCAAAACTTAAAAAACTAAACAGTGTGTGTGTGTGTGTGTGTGCGCGGGTTAGGGGTGGAGAGCAAGGGCTTAGTGCCAGCGTCTCGGGTTCAGTCCTCAGGGCCAAAACCAAGAAAAACATACCTCTGCGTGTGTTAGTCCACACCTGTAAATTCAGCACCTTGAGAAGTTGAGGTAGGAGGATCACAGGTTTTTTTTTTTTTTTTTTTTTTTTTTTGTCTTTTTCGTTTTTATCGGTACCAGGGATCGAACTCACGACTGCCTGCTTGCAAGGCAGGCGCTCATGCCGCTGAGCTAAATCCCCAGCCCCAGGATCACAGGTTTGATGTCCTGGGTGACAGCCTTGAAAAAAAGACAAAATTAAATAAGGGTTTGGGATGTAGATCGGTGGGAAGCCCTGGACCTCAGCCGCAGAACAGCCCACGCGTGCGCACACAAGTACATCCGCAGGAACAGCCCCTTCCCCACATCCTCAGTCCAGCCCAGCCGCTCTCCTCTCCGGACTGTTATAGTCATCTCCACACCTAGGACCACGGACTTCTCTTTAATAAAACCTGCCTTGTTATATCTTTTTGAAAAAATTAAATTTGTGTGCTTCTTTTTTTCTTTTTTCCTGAGACGAGTCTCTGTAGTTCAGGCTGACCTTGAACTCGCTACGAACCCGAGGCTGGCCTCAAACTCACATAGATCCTCCTGCCTCAGCCTCACAATACTGGGATGACAGGAGTGGCAGATGGGCTATTTAGAAGAAGGAAACACTGATACATGTCAGAGCACAGGGGAACCTTGGCAACATCACACTAAGTGTAAAAAGCTGGTTACGCAGGGTGTAGTGTTGCATGCCTATGATCCCAGCACTTGGGAGGCTGAGGCAAATTCAAGACCAGCCGGGGCTACAAAGTGAGCTCAAAGCCAGCCTGAACTACACAGTGAGACCCTGTCTCAAAAAAGAATAAAGAAAGCAAGCTCATCATAAAAGGATGCTGTTGAATGATCCTTGATCCCGTCGATCTAAATTGTCCAGAAAAAAACAAAACCATACAGACAGAAAGCAGATAAGTAATTGCCGGGGTCTGTAGAAGTTGGAGGGAAACAGGGACTGGGTATAGGGTTTCTTTGGGGTAATCCATTCTCAAGTTGACCAAGGTGACGGGTGCCATGGTCCCACTGAACTACACACCACTGGCAGGTGAATGCTGTGTATGTGAACTGCATTTCAATAAAATAGTTTTAAAATGCCCGGGGGAAACCAGGCATAGTGGTGCCACCTGTCATCCCAGGACTCAGGAGGCTGAGGCAGGAGGATAGCAAGTTGAAGGCTTGGTCTATCTCACAAGGCCCTGTCCCAGACCACAAGTCACCACAGCAAAGGTGACTGCTGACCTCGGCCCTCATGGAGGAAGGGATTCAGAACAGGTGGAATGAGGTCTCAGATGGGAACAAGTGAAATCTCACTGCAAAGTCACGGACAGGTAGGTGAGTTGGGAGTCCAGTCCCGGCTGATTTGTGCTAGAGGGAGCAGAGTGACTCATGAGCAGAGACCCAGCAGGAACAGCTGGTGAGGGAAGAGAAACCCAGGAAAAACCGGGCATGGTGCCACAGGCCTGTCATCCCAGCACTCTGGGAGGCTGAGGCAGGAGGACTGCAACTTCAAACCTAGCCTGGGCAATTTAGCAAAACCCTGTCTCAAAGCAAAAATAAATAAATAAATAAACAATGTGAAAGAAGGAAGCTGGCCATACAGATATTCCTTGTTTAACTGCCCATTTAAGGTCTGTTTAGATTTAACAACTGAGGCCGTTTGGATTTATGACTCCTTTTTTTGGTTTTTGTTTTTGCTCCCAGGACTGGAACTCAGGGCCTGGCGTTTGCCAGCTGCGCTGCTGAGCTACATCCCCGCTCTCCTGTGCATTTCTCTACATCCTGTGTATAGAGCCTCAGGACAGCACACCTGTTGACAGTTATAATTTTTACTGTTTGCTCTGCACAGCGTAGCACTGTAGTTCTACGTGCTGTTGTATATTACAGCAATGCATGTAAAAGTTGTGAAGATCTGAATCCCAGCACTCAGGAGGCTGAGGCAGGAGAATCGACATGAGTTTGAGGACAACCTGGTCTACATAGCAAGACCCTGTCTCAAGAAGAAAAAAAAAAATTATGTAAATAAAAGCAAAGTCATTGAGTTGGAGTTTCTGTTATCCATTTCTTTGTCTGAACACTGTACTATATCTAAGTCCTCATTTAAGGACTGATGCATTTAGGGACCTCAATGTACGAGCACAGCTGGCTCCTGAGTGCAGAGCCCCAGGTTCAATCCCCAGGGCAGGGTGTGGGGTTTGGAGGAGGCTGGACCCAGTGTATGGAAGAAGTGGGCGCAGGGTGGGGGGACACAGGTGACCGGCCCTAGGGAGACCTCACCCAGCCACAGGGTAGGAGCAGCAGCGGAGGCAGTAGATGGAAGAGCCCAGCCCGGAGTCTGGCACCACCGAGAGCTCCAGAATGGCCAGGGCTGCTCAGCGGCCACCAGGGGCTGTCTCACTGGCCCTTTGAATTGGCTGGGGATACGGGACCCTGCATGTGGCCCGTGCACATGGCTAGCACTATCACTATTAAAAGCAGGTCACTGGCTGTGTGGCCTTGGACAGTGTGCTCACCCTTTCTGATTCTGTATCCTTGAAGGACTGAGGAAATATTAGCAGAATCCACCCCGCAGTCCTGTTGGGAGTTTAGATGAGAAAATGCAGGGAAGTGGTTGACAGGGCCTGGGGCACATCAAGGGCCTGATACAGAGCAGGAAGCTGTGACAATCGGGGACAGGGGCAAGGGGGAAGCAGCTTGGACCACCCCTATTCGTGCAGGGCAGAGCCAGGCCTTGGCTCCACAACCTGGCATTGCAGGGTACCCTGGATTCCCCAGAGGGAAGGGGTGTGGATACCTGCCAGTAGTCTGCTTTCCCTCAATGGCCACTGCTACCCCCCCCCCGCCCCGCCCAACAAGCACAGGAGGCTACCCTGCCCTGTCCCCACACTGTCCCACTACCCCCTCCCACTGGGCCACTTCGCCTTGAGCAGCCACTGGAGCTCCAGGCCAACAGCTGGGCCCTGCAGGCTCATAAATCACGATGACAGCTGAAGTGGTTGGTGGTGGCTCCTAACCGTGAGGTGGGGGTGAGGTGGGGCGGGAGGAATTGGGGCTCAGGAAGGCCCCACCAGGCCTTCAAGCTGCCCAGGCTGACTCTGAGTTTGCCTTTGAATCTGAGCAGGCAAAAGCTTTTCATGCTACAAACTGTAATCAGCCAGGTGTGGTGATACATGCCTGCCGTCCCAGCACTTGGGAGGCTGAGGCAGAGGGACTGCTGGGAGCTTTGAGGCCAACTTGGGCTACATAATGAGGTCAGGGCCAGCCTGAACTACATGGTGATGAGACTCTGTCTCAAAATAATTTAAAAAATAATAATAATAAATAAAAATATAATTATAATAATAAATAAAAATAAAAAAATAATAATAATGACAGGCAGACATTTTTTAAAAAACATAAGTCTGCAGACACCACACCACAGAAGCAGTTTGGACATCCAGGGAACACCAGGCTGGACTAGCGGTGCAGCTCTGAAATGAAGCCGCTAGTGGGCCCCTGCCCCTCTTGTCAACAGGGGCCCAGAAGTCTGTGGATCCCCAATCTCCTGACTAGCAGCCTGGGCCACGTGAGGCCAGGGAGCCCAGCCAGGAGACTCGGACACTGCCCAGGGCTGCTGCAGAGGACACTGCAGGCTAGATTCTTCCCTTATCTGATCAGGGTGGATTCCCAGCAGTCCTGTTTACTCCGCTCACTCAGAGATTAGCCTAATGATGCTTTTTTATTATTTTATTAGCCTAGTGATGCTTTTTCTATGTGGGAGCCTCACAAGATTGGAAGGAAGAGCAAGAGCGACTGTATTTGTGGCAGGGTCTCCCCACCTAGTTCAGGTTGGCCTTGAACTCACAGCGATACTCCTGCCTCAGCCTCCTGAGCTTGGAGTTTACAGGCATGGCCACTGTGCCCCTCCCAGTGACGTTCTATTTTCTATCCAGGTTACCTTTGATTCAGTAAACTGTGAACTGAAGATTCATGTTTCACTGCCATAAAATGTTTACCTTAAACCAAGCTCAGTGGCGCACACCTACAATCAATCCTAGCATGGGGAAGGCTGAGGCAGGAGAGTCCCTGCAGGTTTGAGGTCAGCCAAGGCTACACAGTGTTCAAGGCCAGCCTCAACTACATAGAGAGACCCTGTCTGAACACACACACGTTCAAGTCCAGCCCAGGTAGCTCTGCAAGACTCCCTCTCAAAATTTCTTTTGAAAAGGAGGCTGGATATAGGGCAGGAAGAGGGAACAAAGGGCTGGGAGGTAGGCTCTAAACTCAGTGGTGGAGCCTTGACTACGTGTCAGAGGCCCTGGGCTCAATCCCAGGTCCCACAAAAAAGAAATACACGAAATAAAACATGTCCTGCTGAGTATCACAGACTTCACTATGAGAGCAAGAGCCTGTCTTCACCTGACTCATTTGTATTTCCAGCATACGAGCTGCCTGTTCTCTTCATCCATTTCTCTTTTCATTTTGTACTGGGCTGTTCATTATGAATCGCTGTCTTTTTTTTTTTGTCTTTTTGAGACAGCGTCTCGCTATGCAGTTCAGGCTGGCCTTGAGCTCACACTGTAGCCCAGGCTGGTCTCGAACTGACATGATCCTCCTGCCTCAGCCTCCCAAGTTCTAGGATTACAGGTGTACACCACCATGCCAGGGTCCTTGTCAATTTTTAAGTAAAATTTTAGCTGAGTGTGGTGGCACATGCCTGTAATTATAGCACGCACTTTGGAGGCTGAGACAGGAACACAAGTTCAAGTTTTGACTAGGCAACTTGGTGAGACTGTCACAATAGTAAAACAAATATGAAGGGCTGGGGATTTAGCTCAACGGCATAAATGCCTGCCTGGCAAGTGTGAGGTCGAGAGTTCAATCCATGGTACCAAAAAAAAAAAAAATAAATAGATAAATAAAATAAAATAAAAATGAAGGGCTGGGGATTTAGCTCAGTACAAAGGCCTAGGGTTTGATCCTTAGTACCACAAAAATGAAACAAAACAAGACAAAAACAAAATAAATATATATTTTTAAAATATTTTAAAAGGGGCTGGGAATTTAGCTCAGTGTCCTAAGTGCCTGCCTGGCAAGAATGAGGTCTTGAGTTCAATCCCCGGTACCACCAAAAAAAAAAAAAAAAAAAAAAAAAAAAAAAATTTAAAATTTAAAAACACTGGGGGGGGGGGCTGGGGATTTAGCTCAGTGGCATAAGCGCCTGCCTTGCAAGCAGGCAGTCGTGAATTTGATCCCTGGTACCGATAAAAAGGAAAAAGACAAAAAAAAATTAAAAACATTTTAATATCATAAAATATTTTAAATATTTTAATATAAAACATTTAAATATTTAAAATTATAAAACATTTTATAGTTTAAGATATTAAAATAAAATATTTTAAAAATACAACTTATAATCGGACATGGTGGCACATGTCTGTACCTTCAGCTCTTTATTTTATTTTATTTAAGGAGAAAAAGAAAAAAAAAGCAGAAAAAGGGTACAAGTTATACAGAATTTCAGAAGAAATAAACAGTAGGAAATCACTAGTTAATAGAGTACATATTGTCATCTTAGAAATAGTTGTTCAAGTTACAAAATTAAAGCATATAAAGTGGACATTCAAACAGTAAGACTGCAAACAGTTCTGTTCAGTGATCCAACAAAACTCAGTAATATGGTTATCTATCTTATACACTTAAATATACATTCAGTTACATCCTTTAGAGCACTTTCTTTTCCTCTCTTTTGTAAG